AGAAATCTTCGTAATCTTACTGTTTAATAAATAGAAATCGTGCGTGTATATCAAATACGATGTGGCCGCTATAATAATACTATGAAATAATAAAAATATCGGATTAAAAATAAATCCATTAACTCTTTAGAAATATATATATATATATATATATATATGTGTGTGTGTGTGTGTGTGTGTGTGTGTGTGTGTGTGTGTGCAAATATATAGAAAAATAGGAAAGAACTATGAGGTTAATAATCCGAAGTTCTTTAGTATTTTTGTTTTTATTTCAAAATAATGGAAACCCTTTATTTTGCAATCAACACCATCACTTGAGAAGTGTTGAAACAAAATTGTAATTTTTGTACTGATGTTATAACATGCATATGCTATAATTTTGAATAAATATTATTTGCTCTACTCTGTATTGATCATTCTTTTAAGAATAGTGTTTTTGGTTATACTAACCCTGTACTTGTATATATATATATATATATATATATATATATATATATATATATATATATATATATATGCATGAAACTTACGTGGCAAAATATTCTTTATAGATTTTCATGTTCATTATTTAGTTGGCAAATGTGGGCATAATAAAGTTGTTTAGAAATCATCAGTTCTTAATATCAGGCGGCATGAGCGATTTGGATATTCTACCAATTTCTGAAGAATTCCCATCTGAAAACTCGGACACTTAAAAGAGGAGAATATAAAAAATATTAACGATTTTTTTAAAAGTCATTCATATATATATATATATATATATATATATATATATATATATATATATATATATATATGTTTGTGTGTAAATGGTATGAAAAATTGGGAAAAAGTTTTTGTGACGCGTTTCATCCGTTACGATTTATTCGGACTAAGTTTGATATTGCGACGTCTACACATTAAAAGAATACTGATGAATTTGGTAAGATTGAAAATTATTTAAAAAAAAATCTTTTTAAAAATTCTGAAAATACAAGCGTCTCTCGTTTTGTGTACATGTGTAGACATGTCATCATCAACGAAGCCCAGTCTGATGAAATCCTAACGGATGACACGACTCACAAAACTTTTTTTCGAATTTGTCATACTATTTTTCTAAATACTGTTTTTATTATTTATAAAAGTATACATAATTATATATATATATATATATATATCTATCTATCTATCTATATATATATATATATATATATATATATATATATATATATATATATATATATATATATATATAAAAGAAAGTAATGGATTTTTATTTATTAATCCGGCATATTTTCATTCCTTTAAACGTTATATTTAGTGGATACCCATATGTGAGGAGGCAAATAGACGAAAATTAAATATGTTAAAAAAAAGTTAACGGAGCGTCTACTTAAATATGGGTATCCACTAAAATAGCGGTTAAAGTGATAAAATGTGTCGGATTGATAACTAAAAATCCATTAAAAATCCATCTTCATATATATATATTCATATATATATATATATATATATATATATATATATATATATATATATATATATATATATATATGTGAATAATATATATATATATATAAATATATATCTTCAGATATATATATATATATATATATATATATATATATATATATATATGATGGTCTCTCGCCGATTTCGACGTATGAGGATCCGACAACCTCGTTCAATTTTTATGTTATGGGACACATCAATCCCGCTAGTGACCTGCATACAAGTCCACATATTTTACAATAGCGAGGATCTCGGTACATAACAACAGGAATAATTGCTGACGCTTTTCGCCATTGTCTTTTTCGTCATTGTCTTTCACCTCTTAGCCAGTCAATATGACTGATTTCAAAATTTCTGATACCACTTTGGCACAAATCTCTCTAGTTATTTCTATCCAGAGTAACTCGCTAGAAGTTAATATGAGACCCATTGACAGCTGAGTTGTTACTCTTTAGCTTGTCTATACCTGAGCCACGGCCGCCCAACATTTCTTTGTCCGCTGTCAAGTTGGATATACATGAGGACCTTAGGTATTCTGTTATCACTCATCCTGGCAACATGACCAGCCCGGCGAAGTTATGACTGCACCAGGAAAGTCTCAATTCCACCAACGTTGCATTTTGCGAAAAAATTGAACAGCCTGTCGAAAAAACATATAGCCACAGATCGCGTGTAGACATCTTTTGTGGAAGACATCCAGCTAATTGATATGGGAACTATATGGAGTTCACGATTCTGAGCTATACATCAGTGTAGTAAAACAGAACGGCCGCTCTATAAACCCGTATTTTGGCTTGCAATTTGATACACCTTCATTCCATAGGCGGCAGCTTAGCTTCCCAAATGCACTTAGCGATCCGATTTGTTATTTTATCATCAATCGATGCATTTACATTCATCTTGCTTCCTAAATATGTAAATGACTTCAAGTTCTTTCCATCAATCTGTATAGGAGTGTCTGGGAATTGATGAACTAGTGGAGGTTGCCTGATACCCCGAATCTGATCTGGACATGGAGCTGGATGGTGGATTTCCTCCGTTTTCTTTATGTTAACGGTAAGACCAAATCTTTGGATGCTGACAAGTTCTTGGGCTTCCTCTTGGGATTCCACTTGTGATTTTGCCACAAGTGCAGCATCGTCAGCAAACAGCAGATCACGAATAGCGTTAGTTCGAAAATGTATATTAGCTTTGAACTGACCACTGGTTCGATATTGAAATTTAACACGTGTCCATTTCACCAAAGGCATATTTGAGCTTTACTGAGTAGAATTAAGCAAAGAGAACAGTGGTCATGACACAACTTTGATTCGTGCCATTTGCAGCATAAAAAGAATCAGAGAATTGTCCATCAGATACAACAACAGTTTTCATCCCCTCGTGAGAGGAGTTTATAACATTCAATATTTTATCAGGGTTTCCAAGCTTTTATGAACTTTTCAGAGTGCTTCACGATTTACAGTGTCAAAGGCCATAGTAAGATCCATAAACACTATATACAATTCCTGGTTCTTTTCACACATTTTTTCAGTTACCTGACAGACTGAGAAGATCATTTCAATAGTGCCACGACCGGACCTGAAATCCCACTGTAAGTGAAAATAAATCTTATTGACGAGGTGCTTGATAATCCTGTTCAGAATCAATCTAGCTATTATTTCATCAGCAATTCACAGCAGAGATATTCCACGATGGTTGTCACAAGCATTTCTATTACCTTTGATCTTTTATAGGTGTTGAACTTAGGCGTCCTTGTAGTCTTGAGGAACACGTCCAGCCCTCCATATTACTTTGAAGAGCTTATGTAGCTTTTTGACTAACTTTTTACTACCATACTTGTTGATATCAGGTGTAATAGCATCCTTTCCAGGCGCTTTTCCTGAAGAGTTTTGTTTGATGGAGTCCAAGACTTCTTGCAAGGTAGGCTCAAAAACCTTTCATGCATTTCAGGACGTTGGGAAATGATTACAATAACATCTTCATCTGTAACTGATGGTGTCTTTAAAACAGACTGCTGCTTCCAGCGACGCAAGATATCAGACTTGTCTGACAGAAGCGTCTGTCCATTTGAGGGGAATACTGGCGTAACTTCGTTCTCTCTAGAACCATAGACATTCTTAAGACCACTAAAGAAGGACTTAGATTTCATAGAAGGAGTTTTTTCTATCTGCTGCTTCCTGAAGTTATGTAGCCTTTGCAGACCCCCAGTCCTCCTCCATTTCTCTGAGAGATCGCATTTATCATTAACCAATGCTTTGTGTGAGCTGTGCATTTGCTCTATGAGTAGCTGGACTTCAGCGTTGCTTTCATCAAACCAGTCCGGGTGTTTCCAGACCGGCAGTCCAAGCATCTTCAAAGAAGCAATATGTACTGTAATGTGTTTTCCATGATGATTCAGTATCATTTGTAACCTCGAGAGCATTGGGAACAGGATCCAGCTTGCTGCAGAGATCTCTCTGTTTTCCTGGTGATGTTAAAGTCAGGGTAGTCATTCGCTTAGGCACAAATATCTTCTGCAGTCTCGTGTGAGCAAGACGAAGGGAAGCTTTGATGTAAAAGAGACTATAGTCAGAATGACAGCAGGTAGCATAAAAGGAACACGTGATATTGATGTCCCTTAAGTCTCTCTTTTTGGTGATATACACAGTGAATAAGGTGCCAGTTTTTAGATCAAGAATGCATCCATGAACTCTTGCGGAAGTTCGTTTGCTGGAAGTAAATGTTGGTGAATACAAGATTGAATTCTCTGCAAATAGAAAGGAAGTGCAGTCCGTTAGAGTTCATGCGTCCAACACCCTGATGACCCAGCACACAATCCTATATCTATCGAGTGTTACCCAACCGAGCATTGAAGTCCCCCATTAGGATAAGTTTATCCCTGTGTTGAACGTGAGAGATCACATTACGGAGGTTGTTGTAGAAGTCATATTCCTCTTGCACAGAACTAGTGCCGAGTCACTGTCTTGGAGTGTATGTACATTCTAAAAGCGCTAATTTCTTACATTTCTTACATTTCTTTTTTGTATATAACAAGGACTTAGTGATACACATCTTACTAATTAACCCATAGATGAGGAAAAGAGGTGGATTCATAACTTATTCACTTTATTAAGTAACTATTTAGAGATGAATTTATTTCCAAATATTAAAATTTAAACAGATGATTGTTTCGAATTTACAAATAATTCAAGGTTTATTTAAAAAATAGGACATTTTTTAAAAATTTAATTTATATTGGATAATTCGAGAAGCAAACGATTTTATTATTTTTTTTATAAGTGTAAAAAACTTTTTTTAACTGGATATGACCCGGAATGTCTATAAAAATTGTAGAGTAACTAAATAAATTATTAATTTTACACTTTTTCTGTAGTAAACTAAACAGCCAAAATGACAGCTATATACGTACTACTAATTTATTCTCGAACCCAATTTGAATTGGAACACGGCTGACCGATTAACAATTCCGAGCCATTATCAATTACACAACCAGCACATGCAAGCTTACCCGCACCTGATATTCCCAAGCGGTAAACCATCTAGGTACTGACCAGGTTCAATGTTGCTTAACTTCCTTGATCTTACGGGAACTGGCGTTTGAACGTAATATTGCCATAAGCTTAGTTCGTTGTTAGAAATATAGCCAAGCAGTATTGATAGAATAATCAGTGGTCAGGCATTTAGACAAACGGTATTGATAGAATAATCAGTGGTCAGACATTTAGCCAAGCAGTATTGATAGAATAATCAGTGGTCAGGCATTTAGACAAACGGTATTGATAGAATAATCAGTGGTCAGACATTTAGCCAAGCAGTATTGATAGAATAATCAGTAGTCAGATATTTAGACAGGTGGTATTGACAGAATAGTCAGTGGTCAGATATTTAGACAGTCGGTATTGACAGAATAGTCAGTGGTCAGATATTTAGGCGGTATTGATAGAATAATTAGTGGTCAAACATTTAGACAGGTAGTATTGATAGAATAGTCAGTAGTCAGATATTTAGACAGGCGGTATTGATAGAATAGTCAGTAGTCAGATATTTAGACAGGTGGTATTGATAGAATAGTCAGTAGTCAGATATTTAGGCGGTATTGATAGAATAATCAGTGGTCAGGCATTTAGACAGGCGATATTGATACAATAGTCAGTGGTCAGGCATTTGAGCAAGCAGTATAGTTAGAATGATGTTATTACAAATTCTAAACTTTATTGTAGTTTTCCGCCTTGAAAAACGTGTTTTGCTATCAACTATACCATTGTGTAACTAAAAAAAAAACTTATCTTTAATATATATGAAAAAGTATCTTTCAGAATGATTTGTATATTTTTCTTGTCTAAATAGAATATATATGACTAAATGGTACATTTGGAACAATACAACCAAGTAACAGAAACTCAACTGATAATTTGTTAAATAATTGGTTTCTTTATTTCTTCGTTGTTACACTGTCATTGAAAGTTAAGCATGGATAATTTTGTAATTATCAGTCAAATCTGTCCAGTTCGATTTGTGCAGCCATTGGGTGGAAGCCTTTCCAGTTTGTTGTCAACCGGATATTTCTTTCTATTTAATTAAAAGCTTTTCAAACATCTGACACCACTATCTTTACGCATAAAAGTTTATTTACCTGTAGCATGTTTATTACTTCAAACGTTTATTTTCATCATGTACACACGCGTATATATTCCCATTTATATATGTTCATTGGAAAAGGTTGATTTTTACAAATACAAGGACGGGCAGGTTATAAGATGTATAAATAGCAACAATAACAGCAAAGGCAAAATGAAAATAGGCCGCTTCATCAACTGTACATGCAGATCATTAATATTGAGTTTGATCCTCATTGGTTGCCCCATAATTGTAGCTTTGGGTGGAAAATAAATTAAAATATGTAAATAAAAACAAAAAGAAAACAAAGAATTGTATATGTTGACTTCGCTCTTTTGTATTTTGCAATCATAAATTTGCATCCTTAGTTTTTAATCATTTCATCCAAAGCAAGGGGATAATGCGTAGCTTAGATGTGGCACAAGGCCGAAAGTATGGGGCACCCAGTGAGGATCGGACTCACGACTCAGTCGTAATTGTTCTAGCGAGACAAGCTTGCTAACCATTACACCACCTCGAGGTGCCCAACTGATTCATCAGATATAAGCAAAGAGCTGATATAGTTTTAAGCATCTCTATGATGACACCATCTTCCTTTACTTTTACATACTGTTATTCCATGACTTTTGGCACGTCAGTGTATATTCGCCTATACATTTATATTCGCTTGTGTGCGCGCACACACACATACGTATTGTGATATTTATACTTGAGATGATACATAAGGTATAAAATATATATTGATTTATTTACAAGAATAAACATTATTATTATTTTATTTTTATTTTTTTTGTCATAAGCAAGTTTTTTTCTTTTTAGTGATTGACGTGGTTAAATTGATTGAAATGGCTAGAAAGTTAGCAATCCGACTATGAATCTCACCCATGGTCGATTTTTGAGGGTGGTGACTTCTTGATAATATGAAGACGGTCACAGTTCGAGGTATCGTTAGGAGGTATCTGAAAGTCATACAATAGATTGACCAAAGCTTTGTGAGTGAAGATGAATTTATGATAATTGTGCTAGCAATGCGGTTTTGGGCCAAACGGCCTTTGTTCAAAATTCTTGATCACGCCTGATCATGCGCTATTTCCCAGAAACTGTAATTAAAGTCCACTCAACATAGTTGCGGTGCACAATTGAACAAAAACACAAATGTATTTGAGTAGAGTCTGCAACGGAGATTAGCAAGCAAACGGACATAATTGGAATGAAGCGGTCAGCCATACTTAGTGACTGACATATTAAATCTTTATTAATATCTTCACAGATATCAACTTTTTATAACATAAAAGCTAGTCTAAGGATACAAAGACTTAACTTTAAAAGAATACGTGTGAATATGAAGTTTTTTTTAAAGATAATCAGCAGTCGGTAAAGGTTTAACATACATAACCGATAACAAAGAAACAAACAACAAGTGTGTTAAAAGTGTGTTTTTTTTCTTGATACCACTATTGCTGTATACTCACTACGTAATTTTTATTGTTTTAAAAAATTATTTTTAGAATTTTAATAAAACCCAGACATATGAAACTGGATTTACTCATTCCCTTTTTGTCTCAAGAATTGACAGAAAACATTGTATGATTTTAATGCCAAATTCTGCATTTAAAAAAAAAAACTGCTCACTGATTCTATATGTGAGATCAACATTCAACCTTTGAAAAGTGAACCTGCTCACTACTATTCGATCTAGGGATAACATTACACGGGACAAGACAAAGCCCTTATAGGCACCTCCATTTTTTCGCTAAAAAAAGAGCATACCATGGTGTAAAAAGCCCCCAAATGTGATAAAAACAGTTTTATCGTCAAAGTGTTTATGTTATTATTAAGAAGATTTTGGTTATTTTATTCATTTTTAATCCTTTCTAACACGTTCGAAATTTTGGTTAAAAATCTTTTTTTTTTGCATCAGCGTGTGGTTCAAAGATTACTATTGGAATTTTAGCGTCTCTTTTGCGGTGAAAAGCACATTGTTTTGGAAATTCTTGCAAAAATCAAATAATAGTTATATTTTAATGAAACTTTCAGGCTTATTTTTGAAATTTTTTTAAGAAAATTTTGGTAAAAATATTTTTACTTGTTACCCCGCCCGGACACACACTTCGTGGAATTTCGAGAAATTAAATTTTGCTTGCAAAATTTGTTTTATGAATTAAAAGCAGGACTCCATGGAGAATTTAAATCATCATTTTTTTTTTTCATTTCCTGAAAATCTGCTCCGAATAAAATAAAAAAATGCAATAAAACTGACACTATTTAATTAGAAAAGCTTTTAATTGCTTTTATAAATAAGATATATTAAGGAAACTATTGTCCTAAGAAAAAAAAATTCGATGACTAAAGAATTTTTACAAGAATTTTCATATTTTAAAATTTTTTTAATTATAATAATTTATTATCATTTATATATAAATCTTTTGAAATTCTACACTACTTTGATTGCGTTTGATGATATTGTTATTAAGTGAAAACAATATTTACTAATCAAAAATTGAAAAGATTAATACAAATCATTATGCACTAAGATATTTTAAATAATTTTAATTTTTTTGTATATATAAAATCATATCTAACGTGCCCATTTTGAAACTATGGGCGACCATACACGGCTTTATCAGAAAATAAGAGCTATGACTATAGTAAATTTAAAATCAACATTCCTAAAATTAGATTATGGAGAATATTTTCCAACATTTTAAAGATTACTGAGTACTTAAAAATTATATAAAAAGGCGCTCACGTCATTTTCTTAAATTACGTTTTAACAGATAAATTCACCGTAGAACAACAAAAAAAATGTCAACATTCGTCAATGTTGTAAACATGGCGACTGTCGGTTAAAAAAAAACAGCTACTGTTTGCTTAAAAATTCATTCTGCTGTATTTTAAGCTTAAAGACAATTATATTTGTTTCAAATCAGATTAATTATACTTTAAACCAGCTAATATTCTTCAAATAAAATTTTAGAAAAGCATATTTTATTTTTGGAAGATTTTTTAATACAGAGAATTACAATGCGATGAAAGACAAAAATTGCCCCAATTGTAGAAAAGAAAATCGATTCCAATCAATATAACTTCTGTTTACCCCACAATATTTTACTTACTGCAAAATAGTAAATTTAATCCTTTAGCATTTAGTTAAATCATACTTATTATAAAACCCAGGTTGTGTGTGTGTGTCTGTTCGTTGGATCGGATTTCCTACATTTTTCAACCGATTTCAACAAAACTTCACAGGACGACGTAAAATTCCATTGCAGTGGTTCTGACAGCGCCAAAAATTGGAAAAACAATTATTTTTGCACGAAATCAATTTGAAAACACGATTAAGAAGCATCGCTGCCGCGAGAATGAAAGGGGGACAACTCTTATCGATTTATACTTATTATAAAACCCAGGTTGTTTGTGTGTGTGTGTGTGTGTATGTGTGTGTGTAATGTGTGTGTGTGTGTGTGTGTGTGTGTGTGTGTGTGTTCATTTATATATGGGATCGGATTTCCTACATTTTCAACCGATTTCAACCAAAACTTCACTTTTTTTTTTGGGTAGTGTTTTCTCTTTTTCTTTATTTTTACATTCAGAATGCTTTAAAAATTCCATTTACAAGACAATTGTTTATAATAAAATTCTATTCAATCGGTAGACTCATAACGATTGAAAACAATGTCTTTGTTTGAGTTTGGGTTTGACCAATTCGTAAAAAACAAAAAACAAAACAAAAATAACTAATTAAGACATGCGTGTCCGTCAATCTTACACAATAATATAGTCAATTTTTTTTTTCAGTCTTTATGATGGTCGATACCTGATCTATCTCTTACTGTTACATCCCCGGGCAACGCCGGGCTCTACTGCTGGTCTAAAATGAAAGCTTCAAGAAAGCTTTTTCATTTTTTAAAAATCATTTTAAACCTTAGGTATCGCGAATTATTGGAGGTCCCTACCTTACAATTCTATCTATGAATAATATTACATGGGACAAGAC